TTTCATCATTATGTAACCCATCACTGATGTCATGTTGTCGACATTAATACTGTTTTACATTACTTGACTGCATCCGTCACCAGTCTGGCACCTCTAATTTTTCCAACAATGTTATTGCCATCACAACCCTTTGTGTAAGTCGGTCAGCACTCTCCCCACCCATGCGTTGCTACTAACATCACCATCACCACGTACTATCACCACCAATTTTAAATATAAACTAAGACAAATTTCAATATGAATTAAGAAAACGATTGTAGAGTAAGAATCATAGAGTAATACCAAACAGATTGTAGAGTAAGAATCACATGTATCAGTAGTTTACTCTACTTTAGCCAACTACCTTATCCCATCTAATTTACCATCCTACCAAAGTACCAAATGTATCGTAAAATTTATGAAAAAAACTTATATAAGACCATAGACTAGAGTGTGTTCATGGGGATTGTCAGGGTCTCTACTAATGAATCTAGTTGTGTGACAATATTCATGAGAAGCTGCAAAAGTTCTTGAGTGTTTGAGTTTTTCTACCTGTACTAATCTTCAATGAAAATTAGGATCTTTAGGGGAGTACTTTGTGATCTATTGAGTGTGAAAGTACTCGAAACTTTCATTAAACTTTTTCACACATAATATTTCCATTTTAAAGCAATTCTAGTTGTGATAATTTCTGGACTTTTAGGAACTACCTTTCTTTATCTGATTCTGAGACTGAAGTCAACAACACTCACAACTTAATACATATAGAGCAGAATATTAGATATACCACAATAATATACATAACTTCATAAGAGCATAAGAAAACAAAATCACTTATCTCCCTAAAGCACAACTTAATTTTTCTTTGCTCTTTGGTAAACCTTGCAAAAGATGTTATCTTCATAATTATAGAGTCCTTAACAGTGATTTTTCTCTTAATTTCATGTAAATTATCTTAATTTTTCTTCGTTCTTAGGTTAACCTTGCAAGAGATGTTATCTTCTTAATTAAGGACTACCCTGATTTTTCTTTTGATTTGATGTAGATTATCTTATCCACACCGTGATATATGGAAAATAGTTCAAGATGCAAAATTTTTTTTGGTCTTATAGCAATGGTTAGCTTCATGCACCAAAATTAAGTTGCTTTCTACAATCCATTGAATCGTAGTTCATTCAGGATTTAGAAATCCTTGCAGAGTGTCAGGGACAGACATCAAACCTAGATGATCAAGGTGGGAACAAGTATCAACTGGACTAATTATGCGTATGGTTCTTGAACTTTAGAAACATAACTTGTCATTCGAGTCTATCTGGAGCATTTGGTTTGGTAGAAACATATTACCTTTGAATACACATCACATTTTGGGATCTATCGGATAACATTAAAATAGCTATAACATTATTTTTTTAAAAAAAGCCCTAATATTAAGGAAAATAACTAAATTTTGAAATATCATAACTTCATATTTTAGTGTCTGTCTGGAGAAATTCTTTTAGAAGCTATGTAACTTTTCAAGATCTATGTGATTAAATTAAAACAACTATGACATTAAGAAAACAGCTACTGAGCAATGGACAATAAAACTCATAATGATAGATGTTTAAATGCTCTAACTTTGTATTCGAACGAGGAATTGTTATACTGAGTACAAAGCTGTCAATCATATTGCAGACT